CATGGACTGTAAGAAATAGAAAAATATATCATTATATCATATATTCTTAATTTGATTAGAATAAGAAATAGAAAAATACATATACTCTTTCATATATTCTTAATTTGATTGTGATATTTCGTCCGTAAACTACATATTCTATATAATTCATTAAATATCAGACAAAATTTTTTATCTAAAACGGAATATTTAGCTGTTTATCGCGGACAACAATTAGAGGGCATCCATTTAGAACGTAAACCTCGTCCTTTCCCACACCCTTAAATGGTTGTCTCCAGTTTTCCTGACTCTCTTCTTTCCTCGGACTTCTGAACAACAGTTTTTTCCGCTTTTGCTGGATATTTTTAAGGATACCTTCCTCTTTTTTGACTTCCTTGGAAAGTGGAGAAGCTGATGTTAGATCGGGCTGAGATTTATGTTAGAAATAGAACATCGACATAGAAAATCGATGCAGTTTTGCCCAGAATTTTCTGACATCTTCTTCTATAAGTTTTCTGGAACACTCTAGTTTTCATCCAGTCACATTGCGACCCCTCGAATAAATGATGCGATTCAACTGGAATTTTAACCCAAAAAACAATATTCATGACCTGATGTAGCAGAGCCAAAGCAAAAAAGTCTTTAAACTAATGGAAAGTCTCTAGCGATTTTTGTTATGGCTGGTTCGTTCGACCGATGTTTGTTTCCGCCACAAAAAATTCTTTCGTTCGAAAAATCAGTTCCTGGTGGTAGGTTAAAGCTAAAATTTCCTGGTAAAACGTTTCTGTTCACCAAAATACCAATCAGTTGAGTTTTTGATTTCTGCAAATAAAAGAGAATTGGATCAGTTAATATCGTTTAGTAGTAAAACAGAATTAGTCTTTTTGTTAGATCTAAAGAGAACTATAAAAGTTATTTTTAAGAATCGAAGCTTTTTCTAAACTTTTTAAATGCGTCTTGTCTTTAAAAAACTACCACTAAATTATTCTGATATAGTTAAATGACCGAACGGATGAGAAAAAACGTCTAAAAATTGTTAAAATTTCAGAAGATTTCCTAGGCGTCTGGAATCGTTTCATTGTCTCCTCTGTCCGGTTTTTTGCTCCTCCCCTAAAGCCAGACATCATAAATGGCTGGAACCTTATCTTATCAAGAATTAGAACAAATTCAATCAAATATTGGTGGTATTATATCATTTAATACATTTTTTTCAACAACAATGAGCAGAAATGTTGCTTTAATTTATGCTGGTCATTTAGACAATTTCGTTTTATTTGAAATAACAACTGAATGTAACCATGTATTAATACCCTATATAAAATTAAATAAAAACTTCAGTTTTTCTAACGATGGAAATGAAATATTATTTACTGTTGGTACTGTATTTCAAGTTGAATCAGTTCATCGACAAGAATTAATATGGAATATAAAATTAATATTAAATCGTCAAACATATAATCAGACAACATTTACATCATTAAAAACGTATATTGATAAAACATCAATTGAAAATAATTTCATAAAATTTCTTTTACAAACTGATCCATATTCGATTGAAAATTATAATGAAATAAAAGCTATTTTAAATGAATTATCGTCAAATAGTGTTGAAATTATTAGTTTTTATATAACAATTGGATTATTACAGCGTCATTATAAATTAGAATTAGTCTATTATCAAAAAGCTATTACATTCTTAACTGATCATATTCGTTTAAAATCGTATATTTATCGAAGTATTGGTATCATATGTCATAATCAATATGATTATAAAACAGCATTAGAATATTATTATAAGGCAATTAAATTAAATTTACAATCAAATGATATATCAACAGTCTATTTATACAGTAAAATTGGTGATATTTATGAATGTGAATATAATTATCAATTATCATTGGAAAACTATTTAAAAGCAATTGATATTTGTAATTCTGATCATTATCATTTACTAATAGCTGATATTTGTGAAAAGATTGCTTACATGTCGAATGAACATTTTTCAAATACTGATATGTCATTAAATTACTTTAAAAAATCAGTGATTAGTCGTCATCATTGTCTTACTGCAGATCATCCATCCTTTGGTTTATTATATGAAAATATTGCTAAAAAAGTATTTTTTATTCATTCTCGTACGATTGAAGAATCTTATGAGAAAACAGTTGATCTTGTTACAACAAATTGTTTATCAGAAAATCATTTTTCATTAGTTTGGTTATACGAAAAACTTGGTAATTTATATGAGAAACAATCAAAATATACAATAGCTGCTAATTATTATCAGAAAGCAATTAACGCTTGTTTAACAATGAATAATGTTTTATTGATATTTTTAAATGAAAAAATTGGTGATGTCTATGAAAAAATGTCTGTAAATGATATGGCTCTTAGACACTACAAAATAGCAACAGAAAGTGGTATGATTTATTTGTTCAAAAATCATTCATTATTCATTCGTTTATACGAAAAAATTGCCATAATCTATGAAGAAGTTGAATGTAATTATCCATTAGCAATAAAATTTTATCTTAAATTGCACGACGTTATAGATGATATTAAAAATCTTCATTCAGTCTATGATCATTTATTCCGATTGCATATAAAGAATAATGATTATCGAAATAGTTTAGCATATCTAGAGAAAAAATTTGATCTGGAGATAAATTCTACAGAAATGATTCATTCAACTATAGAAACGTGTAAATTGATTATAACAACTGCAACAACAATTGCTACGATGACTGAATATTTATCTGATTATATTATACTATCAACCGCTTATTTATTATCGATAGTGTATATATTGAAAACCAATGATATATTATATGAAAAATATGAGAAAAAAGACGATTATATACAAAGAACAAAAAATTTAAAAACAACACTTCATGTTGATTTTCAACCTGTAACATTTGATAATCTTTTAATCAAACTATCAAATGGTCATAATATAAAGTCAGAAAATTATTTTACTGCGTTAGATAGTCTTGATAGTGCATATAACGATTACATAGATAGAGCAAAAGTGCTATTCACTTAGAATGCACAGTAGAAAATTTTTTTTTAACTTCAAGAGTTTTGTGCATCATCAGCAGCATCAGAGACCGAAATCGGAGAGATCCTATCTAGTCTGTGGTTAGCTTCAAATATTTTCACCCGACCCAATCCAATCCAGTCCAACCCAACATAGTCCTCTAAGACTATGAGTCAGTCAAGCCTCCCGACTCAAGTCGGTTTCTGATCAGCAGGTCCCCCCCTCCTATTTATATTTGGCCATAGCTGATAGTCTTAAAACGGTGCTTTTCCAAAAATATTGCCTTATAGTGTAAACAAAAGCGAGTTCTTCAGAAGAAAGAAAACATATTTTCCATTTCTTCAAAATAGGGATCTGACATGAGCTCTTGCATAACTTTGCAAAATTTTTGAAAAACTGACTTTTTCATTTCATTTGGTTTCAACTAGGTATGCATCGGTTCGGTTAAATCGAGACCGAAATAACCGAACATCGGTTTCGGTTATAACCGAAACATTAGTTAAGGGCACAACTCCCCTTTCCGGACGTGAAAACTTTTTCCTGGATTTCTCAAAAACTCGAAAACTTTCAGTTTAAATGGATCTCGACTAGCAGAGCAAAAGTTGTCATAGACTCAGACTTTCCGGATGATTCCTTCTGTAAGAAATAAGGGACACAAGGGCCAAAAATGATCTGAAGTCCCCCCCTCTCCCGCAAACATCCTGAATTTATTTTTTATGACTGAATTCTTTTTTGTAACAGCTAGAACCAAATCTGGGTGTATGTATTTTCTTTCTTAAAAACTATTGTTGTTAGATACATAATGCAACCATGATAATGAACCGAAATATTTTCCTTTAATTTTATTATGAAAACTGTCAAATGGATAACTACAGTAAAATGAAATATATCTGCCTGCTCCTGAACTGAAAATA